GCTTGAGACTTAACTAGGGATTTCATAAACTTAACTCATCGAATTTTTACAACATTCTTGTGAAGTAAATGGCATTATCCCTTACTTACAAATAAGAAAATTGAGGCCCAGAGTGGTAAATAAACATTACCTAGCTCATGCAGCTAATAAGTGGATGAAATCATGGCTTGATTGAAACCAACTCCGTCTGGTTCTAAAAGTCTATTATTTTTTTCACTGTATATAATCTTATAAAATCTTATTTATTTATTTATGTTTGAGATGGAGTCTTGCTCTCAAGATGCCCAGGCTGAAGTGCAGTGTTGTGATCATGACTCATTGTAGTTTCAACCTCGTGGGCTCGAGCAATCCTCCTGCCTTAGCTTCCTGAGTAGCTGGGACTACAGGCACGTGCCACCACACCTGGCTGATTTTTTAAAAAATTTTTGTAGAAATGGTGCCAGGTATGGTGGCTCATGCCTGTAATCCAAGCACTTTGGAGGCCAAGGCAGGCGGATCACCTGAGTTCGGGAGTTTAAGACCAGTCTGACCAACATGGTGAAACCCCGACTTTAAAAAAAATTTTTTTTTTGTAGAAACAGAGTCTCACTTTGTTGCCAAAGCTGGTCGTGAACTCCTAGCCTCAGGAGATCCTCTTGCCTCTGCTTCCCAAAGTGCTGTGATAACAAGTGTGAGCCACTGTGCCTGGCCTTAATTATTAAATTTATAAATTTAACCTGTTCATCTTAAATTGCTATGATATTTGGCCCAGTAATAAATGTTAAATGGTCTGTAGAGCCAAATATATATAGACTTTTAGTTAAGATGACTTGAAGAAAGCAGAAGATAAATTAATAATCAGGAGATCTCATAAGGGATAGAAAGTATTGAAGTGGTAATCTGATGCTTGAGAGATTAGGTGCCAGAAGATTCTTGTCAGTGGATAACATTGCAAGAGAAACTTAACCCGTGTTAGTGTTTGGTTTGCTATGTTGTAGATCATATTTTCTACACTACAAAATATAGGAAATTTCCTTTGGGTATATTAGGGTCAAAGAGAGCATTTTTCTAAGGCACCCTCTGCTAGCTTCCTAGCAATAATTAAGATAGCTATCTGATGTAGTTGTGCAGATACTAATGATGTAAATAAATTTAGGAAAGAAATTAATTTCAAGGGCCATTAGAAACAGAAAGGAAATCGATGTTAGTAACAAATGAAATGGAAAAATAGAGTTAGGGAAAGGATCAAGTTTATTTTAGAATTCAAATTTAGCTATCGAATTCTTTTTGAATTATAGGAAGAATACTTCTGATATTGGAAAATTTCCATTTCAGACAAATAGTTTAAACTTTATACGGGCAGCCTGATAACAATCAGTATGTAGGGTCAGCTTTCTAAATGAGTGATTACATTATAAAAATGCTATCTTTAGCCCTTTTTAACTAAAAGGTAAACTTCTGGCAGTCTCAGTGGCAAAGTCTGAAACTGATCAATGACCTAGTTGGGTTCTAGATAAAAATGCTATTAATAGTTATTTGGAAACACTCAGATTCAGAGAATTAGATGATGGGATGTGGGCTTTATTAAATGAGAAGCTCCACTCTGAGGAGGCACCTAAGGATCTGTGCTGGTCATCCCTTTTCACACCTGACGCCTTTTTTGTTTAATTGATAACCACCTAATAGGCATTTCACATCTAGTTGATCTGACTCTGTCCCAGATAACTGTGACATGACCTCACTTTTCTTGTAACTCCAGGCAGCCATTACTCCACCTTTCAGAGTTGCCATTTGAGAAGAAATATGCTATTTTTAGTCCTAGACATTTTCTTTGATAAAATATAGAACATGAAATCCCCCCCATTTTAGAAAACTGAGTATACAGAGACTAAAAGCTGGATGTGGTGACTTGCTCCTGTCATCCTAGTATTTTGGGAGGCTGAGAAGGGAGGATCACTTGAGACCAGGAGTTCAAGACCTGCCTTAGCAACGTAGCAAGACCCTCACCTCTGTGAAAAATTTAAAAATTAGCCAAGCATGATGGTGCACTCCAAGAAATTTAAAAATTATCTGAGCATGGGTTTGCACACATGTAGTCCCAGCCACTCAGGAGGCCAGGAGTAAGCTATGAATGTACCACTACACTACAGCCTGAGCAAGAGTGGGACCCTGTCTCAAAAAAAAAGAAAAAAAAAAAAGGAAGAATAAGAAACTGAACACCTTTAAATAATAAATTCCTTTGATATTTAACTAATTAACAAAAATGATTTGATCCCAAATTTGCAGGAAAACATAAAAACATGATCAAACAGTTTTAGGGACTTAAACATTGAACCATCTAGGGCAACTATACTGTGACAAAAGAATATCTAGTTCTACTACTTCTGAGACAATGATACTGTAATTTGGCTTAAAATAAATAAAAGGTAACATTAAGAGGTAATGAACAATTTTGATTGACATTGGTATTAGAGGGATGTATTTTAGGAACAATCTGTTCCATTTTGAAAGTATTAAAATGACTTGTTACTGTGTAACTGCAGCTTTATGTGTGGTTGAATATGTATCTGTCATTTGCTGTTGGTATTTGCAAAACTGAGTATAGATTTGGACTGTTATAGAAAATCAGCCTATAAATATCAATGAAAACTTTTGTTCTGTGAAATAGGTTTTTTGTTGCTGTTGTTGTTGTTGTTTTGTTTTGTTTTGTTTTGAGACAGGGTCTTGCCCTGTTGCCTATGCCAGAGTGCAGTGATGGGACCTGGGCTCTGTGCAGCCTCAATCTCCTGGGTGCAAGTGATCCTCCCAGCTCAGCCTTCCAAGTAGCTTGGACTACAGAAGCACACCCCCATACCCGCCTAATTTTTTGTAGAAACAGGTCTCCGTGTATTGCCCAGTTTGGTCTTTAACTCCTGGACTTCAATCCTCCTGCCTCAGCCTCCCAAAGTGCCAGGATTATAGGCATGAGTCACTGCGCCTGGCCATGGAATAGTTTTGACATTATTTAATAATATCAAGCAGAATATAAATTCTTTAGACAGGAAAATATTTTGGAAAAAAATGCAGAGTAGATTATATTTGCTTTTTTGTTATGTTTCTACTATTACTAGCTACTAACATTTTACTATAAATTTTGACAATTTGACAATCTGTTGTTGAGAAGCTAAGTAATCTTTCTTATTCTATGAACCTATGAATTATATTAAAAGTAATCGTGCTCTTCTATTTAAAGGCCAATAAATCTAGCTCTGCCCTTTCTTTCCAGCCTTCTGTTGTGCTAATAGTTTCAAGATAGACTTGGCCAGGTGCAGTGGCTCACACCTGTAATCCCAGCACACTGGGAGGCCAAGGTGGGCAGATCATTTGAGGCCAAGAGTTTGAGACCAGCCTGGCCAGTGTAGTGAAACACTGCCTCTACAAAAAAATTAATTAATTAAAAAAAACAAGGCTGCTATGGTGGTGGTGCACACCTGTAATCCCAGCTACTTGGGAGGCTGAGGCACAAGAATCATTTGAACCTGGGAGGCGGAGGTTGTAGTGAGCCGAGATCATGCCACTGCCCTCCAGCCTGGGCAACAGAGCAAGCCTCTTGTCTCAAGAAATAAAAATTTAAAAGATGGAGTTTTGAGTTTCACTTCCACCATTAAGCAACTACAGGATCATAAGATACGGGATTCTTTTAAAAAATATATATGGGATTCTTTTTTTTAACCTATAAAATAAAAGAACTGCACAGAGTACATGGTTTTTAAACCTTCTTGGAGTCATGGAGCAACCCTCTGAGAATCTGATGAAAGTCACCAATATTTACACCCTGAAAACTGCTTATTCATATAAAAGATTGCATGTAATCTCAGGAGCTGTAGTATTTTCTAAAGCCATCCACAGACCTCAATTTAAGATCCCTGGATTAGAGGATTTCTGGGTTAATCTTAGTTTTCAAAATCTGTAATTCTCTATTTCTGTCCACACAACCCTGTTGTCTAGCTATACATGCTATGATCCTCATTCTTCAGACTGTTGCTTCTGGATGTTTACTCACATTATTTTGTCCATTTTCAGATGTCCTTCATACCCCCTTGCCCATCTTTACCTTTGAGTGTTCTACCCTCTTTTTAAAGCACAGTTCAATGTCACTTTTTGTGTGTGAAGCTTCTTCAGTCAGAATTAATCTGATCTTTCCCTTAGAACCTTATACTGAAAGGCCCTTAACCTGTTCGGTCTTACAGTGATTAGAAATGGGCTGCATATCCATTGCCCCTTCCTCTTCTCACCTGTTCCTCAACAGTTTATAAATGACTTGACACAGGTGACTGTGTGCCTGTCTTCACTTTGTAACTGAGTGGTACCTTGCTAGTAGTAGTCAAGGAATAATTGCTTGAATTTATTGCTTAATTGTAATGATTAACTGTCTGTTATGTCCTGTGCTAATTGCTGAGAGGATTACCCCCTTTCTCTCAAAAAAGGAGAAAGTATTGTGGAAATAGAACCACGGAGGGATAGAAGATGAACTAAGCCCACTGCAGTGGCTCACACCTATTATCCCAGCACTTTGAAGGTTGAGATGGGAGAGATTGCTTGAGCCCAGGAGTTCAAGACCAGCCTGGACAGCATGGCAAAACCCTGTCTCCACAAAAAATACAAAAATTAGCTGGACATGGTGGTGCACACCTGTAGTCCTAGGTACTTGGGAGACTGAGGCACGAGAATCGTTTGAATTAGGGAGGGCAGAGGTTGCAGTTGAACCGAGATTGTACCACTGCACTCCAGCCTGTACAACAGAGTGAGCGTCTGTCTCAAAGAAATAAAAATATAAATAGAAGATGAATGTAAAGAACAGGTAGAGTTTAGGGAGCTGGACAGGCATGATCTGGGAGAGATTAAGAGAAATGAGAGAACTAGTGTATATCATATTTCATTATCAGTGAAATTGGTCTATTTTTACTGAAAAGAGAGATTTGGCTTAACAGTTTTCATGTAAGCTTTACATTTTTTTGTTTTTGTTGTTTTTGTTTCTGCAGGTACAAGAAAACTCCCCAGGACATAGGGCTGGATTGGAGCCTTTCTTTGATTTTATTGTTTCTATTAATGGTTCAAGATTAGTAAGTTCAACTTTTTGTAGTTTTGTCTATAGTATTTCTAATCTCTCAAAATGGAATTTTTCAGATGAGCTGAGATGGGTGTTTATTAGTTACATTGTGTATACTGTGATGCCAGTTTATAGAAATAATCATGTATTAATAAACCTTGAAATGTCTAGAATATTGTAGCTTATGCTTCACTGATTATCTTAGGGAATTCTCCAGAATTACAGGAGTCTTTTATATGTTAAATATTTGATTTTTATAAGCAGAAAGAAATAATTAACATGTAAAAGATTGCTTTTTAAAGATGTAAGACTTCTGTTAGTTGTTGACCAACAGATTAGTAGAAAGATTCATTCTTTCATCTAATTCTCTCAAACTTGTCAGTTTTCTTTGTACTAAGTTTCATAGTATACAGATAATTGTGTTAGAACCAGACAGAGAGATATGCTGCAAAGTACAAAATTAAAACCACTTTTTAATACATTGTTTAAAGTTTACCCGTAATAAAGTTCTAAGAAAAGGAAATTATATAATCTTGGCAAAGAAAATTCTTATGATAGTAGTTACTTGGTTGGTTTATTTTTTCATAATAAAGTTTTTGTTCATTACTTATAACATCTCTGACATATAAATAAAGGCCAACATCTGGCCTTTGCTTATGAAATGAAATGTTTAATATACTGTTTCTACTTTTTTTTCTATTTGTAAATAATGTATTTAGAAATAGAGTCCAAAGTTAAACTTTAACCCCAGTAAATGTTTGAGATTTTTAAAATCAAAGTCATCCCAGCACTTTGGGAGGCCGAGGCGGGTGGATCACAAGGTCAAGAGATCGAGACCATCCAGGTCAACATGGTGAAACCCCGTCTCTACTAAAAATACAAAAAATTAGCTGGGCACGGTGGTGCGTGCCTGTAATCCCAGCTACTCAGGAGGATGAGGCAGGAGAATTGCCTGAACCCAGGAGGCGGAGGTTGCGGTGAGCCGAGATCGCGCCATTGCACTCCAGCCTGGGTAACAAGAGCGAAACTCCATCTCAAAAAAAAAAAAAAAAAAAAAAAAATCAAAGTCATCACAACTTCGTTAGTAATATGACTTCTTAAGGCATATTTTGTTTTTTACACATCGAAGTTCTGGATCATTCTAAATAATGTTGGGTTGCAATTTATAATCCATAGTGAGCTGTTAGAAGAAAGTCAGTTTCAAGTTGTTGCTAACATGAGAGTTGTTCTTAATTTCTTGACATTCTTCTACATGAAGGAAAATGTAAATGTTGGTGAAACCTTTGTTGAATGTCCTATTTATGATGATGATTATTATTACTTTTATAATAACCATTTGGATGCTTAAATTAACATTAAATTTTATTTACTAAGTAATATGATTTCTATGTGTTCACAGAATAAAGACAATGACACTCTTAAGGATCTACTGAAAGCAAATGTTGAAAAGCCCGTAAAAATGCTTATCTATAGCAGCAAAACACTGGAGCTGCGAGAGACCTCAGTCACACCAAGTAACTTGTGGGGTGGCCAGGGCTTATTGGGAGTGAGCATTCGTTTCTGCAGCTTTGATGGGGCAAATGAAAATGTTTGGCATGTGTTGGTAGGTATCAACTGGGCTGTTACTGGTAGTCACAAAGCAATGTAGAAAGATGTTTTAACAATGGTTGTTTCTGGCTTAATAAGATTGTAAGGAAATTATTAGGCAGTTTTTGCCAAAAATCAGCATTCATTGCTTTTTTAGATATGGATCACTTTTTTTTAAGTTGAGGAAGAGAAGCAAATGTAGAACTTTAAGAACTTTTTCTAATGATCTGTTCATTATAAGAAGATGTATTAAAGTAGATAGCGGCCGGGCGCGGTGGCTCAAGCCTGTAATCCCAGCACTTTGGGAGGCCGAGGCGGGTGGATCACAAGGTCAAGAGATCGAGACCATCCTGGTCAACATGGTGAAACCCGTCTCTACTAAAAATACAAAAAAATTAGCTGGGCATGGTGGCGCATGTCTGTAATCCCAGCTACTCAGGAGGCTGAGACAGGAGAATTGCCTGAACCCAGGAGGCGGAGGTTGCAGTGAGCTGAGATCGCGCCATTGCACTCCAGCCTGGGTAACAAGAGCAAAACTCCGTCTCAAAAAAATAAATAAAGTAGATAGCTACAAAAATATTTTAAATATTTGTTAAATATTTTATAATTTTTATGCTCAGAAGTTTAAAATATATTCTATAGTTTCTGACATCTGACACATCTCTAGCAAGACAGAAGTATACAGATTTTAAAAATCAATATAATTAAAAATTGAGACTATAAACTAGATTATTTTATATATATTAATTTTAGTGTGTGTTTTTCTGTCATTGTAGGAAGTGGAACCAAATTCTCCTGCAGCACTGGCAGGTCTTAGACCACACAGTGATTATATTATTGGAGCAGATACAGTCATGAATGAGGTAATTTGTATGTTTATTAATAGTGAAAACTATATAAAATTTCTTCATTGATGTTTGAGTTGAGAAAGATATTTGCATGCTTTGCATTTAGAGTTAAAATTTCAGTCTTTGTTGATCAAGTATAACTTATGCTTCAGGGTATTAAATGGAACATCTGTTAAGTGTCTTATTAGGTATAGCTGTGAGGAAAAACACATACTGTGCAGCAGTTGCACAGATTTTGTGTATAATATACAGAAATCTCTGCATACCTCAAGTCTAAATCAAATTCTCATTTTCGATTGTTCAATGATTTCATTTTCTCTTCCCCTTTTTATTCAGTGACAACATTAGCTCAGCTATATTAGATCCTTTTCGTTGTCTGTTAGCTAGTGGAAGTACACACTGCTAAGTCAAAAACAAGAGAAAAGGCCAGGCGTAGTGGCCCATGCCTGTAATCTCAGCACTTTGGGAGGCAGAGGTGGGAGAATTATTTGAGCTCAGTAGTTCGAGACCAGTCTGGGTAGCATAGTAAGACCCTGTCTCTATAAAAAAAAAAATCCAGGAATGGTGGTGCATGCCTGTAGTCCCAGTTACCTGGGAGGCTGAGGTAGAAGGATCACTTGTGCCTGAGAGGTTGAGGCTGCAGTGAGCCAAAATCATGCCACTGCACTCTAGCCCCAGCAACAGTTAGACGCTATCTCAAAAAAAAAAGAAAAGAAAGAGAGAGAGAGTAAGAAATAAGGTGCCCAGACAACCAGGTTTTTTTTTTTTGAGATAGAGTCTTACTCTATCACCCAGGCTAGAGTTCGATGGCGCAATCTCAGCTCACTGCAACCTCCACCTCCCAGGTTAAAGTGATTGTCCTGCCTCAGCCTCCCAAGCAGCTGGGACTACAGGTGCCCACCACCATGCCCAGCTAATTTTTGTATTTTTAGTAGAGACAAGGTTTCACCTTATTGGCCAGGCTGGTCTCAAACTCCTGACCTCGTGATCCACCCGCCTTGGACTCCCAAAGTGCTGGGATTATAGGCATGAGTCACTGCACCCAGCCTGACAAACAGGTCTTAATAATGGGAAGTAAGAGCAGAATATGTAGAACTTGGGTATAGAAAAATTGTACTGAATGCCAACTAGATCTTAAGGAATTGGGCATAAAGCCTTGTATGTAGTAGGCCTTGCTTGAATTAATATATTGAATTAAATCTGCTTGGTATATTTGTTTTCAGAAGTGATTTTTATGTCTGGGGCAGGGCCCAGAATCTGTATTTTTTTTCTTAGGTTTCTCAGGTGATTCTGATAGTACCCAGGTTTGAGACACACTGTTCCAAAGTACAGTTAACATAAAACATTTTTCTCCTGTGATGCTTTTGCAGTCTGAAGATCTGTTCAGCCTTATTGAAACACATGAAGCAAAACCACTGAAACTTTATGTATATAACACAGACACTGATAACTGCCGAGAAGTGATTATTACACCAAATTCTGCATGGGGTGGAGAAGGCAGGTAAGGTCATTTTTTAGACTAAGTTGTGACTACTTAAACTTACCAGTCAGATATGTTGTAAACATTGGTTGTTTTTATTTCGAAAGAACTTACTGGTTTATTATAAGAATCCTCTTTAAAAAAGTGAAGAGCTAGCCTAGAATATTGGAACCCATTTTTTTAAAGTACATATCTAGGGAACGAATTATATGTACTGTAGTCCTTTTCTTTACTGACCTAAGAGCTAACAGCGTTTCTTTTTAATTTGAGGAATTATTGCACATAAGCAGTAATTATAGAAAAGCCTAGGATTTGGAAACTTTCCACGTGTTTTCAAAAGTTTTAGTCCTATGCTGGGAAAAGGATAACTTAGTTGCTGCAGGCAGAAAAAGCCTCCGTTTGCTCACCATACCTTTACCCACACTACCTGAGATTCTCCAGCTGAATGTGTTTTGCCACAAGAATTCCAACTTGTGCAGTTTGAGAAAAGTAAGATAGATGTGTCATCCAAGAGTCTGGCCTATCTAGGGCAATACTTGATGAAATTATTGTCCATTGCCCAGGTTTGTAAGCACCCAGAAATACGATTTACTCAAGCCATTCAAAATTATTCACTTCCTCACATAAACTAAATTTGCAGAGAAGCTCCTGTATTTATTTGCATGGCAAATTTTCAGTTTGCAGTAGAAAAATACCCCCTCAGATTAGTACCACAAGAATGCCTGGTGAGCATGGAATCAAACTGGAGGAAGAGATCCTGTGGACAGTGAAGACCAACAGCAAAGAATATCACATATTCTTTCTTTTTTAATTATGTTGACTAAATTTTTTTTAGTCAAAAAAATGTCTTTGGAAGACATTTTTCCTTTTGATGTGTTAAATACTGTCAGTTGGCCATTGCGTTAGCTAGGCCCATACAGAATACTTTCTTCAGTCTGCCTCTGACCATGAATTTGGCCTTTCTGTGCCTCTGTTTTTATTCCTTTCTCAGAGGCTGGCCACGTTTCATTTATTAAATCTTCTTTCTCTTAATTTCATTCTTAGATGATCTTCAGGTTTGCCCAGAGTCTTGCTGTTGCCTCAAGTTCATTGTCTCTTACCACTTAATTACTTTGATCAGTAAGGACCCTGTTTTCAAATGTAGCTACCTCTGAAAGGCTATAATTGATCAATATAAATTATTTAATCTTTATTTCTCTAAATCTATGTGAGATCCAGTCCAGTGAGAATTGTAGGGTTTTGTTTGTTTGGAGACAGGGTCTTGCTCTGTTACCGGGGCTGGAGCACAGTCAGAGTTCACTGTAGCCTTTAAAACTCCTGGGGTCGGCCGGGCGCGGTGGCTCAAGCCTGTAATCCCAGCACTTTGGGAGGCCGAGGCGGGTGGATCATGAGGTCAAGAGATTAAGACCATCCTGGTCAACATGGTGAAACCCCGTCTCTACTAAAAATACAAAAGATTAGCTGGGCATGGTGGTGTGTGCCTGTAATCCCAGCTACTCAGGAGGCTGAGGGAGGAGAACTGCCTGAACCCAGGAGGCGGAGGTTGCAGTGAGCCAAGATCGCGCCATTGCACTCCAGCCTGGGTAACAAGAGTGAAACTCCGTCTGAAAAAAAAAAAACTCCTGGGGTCAAACAGTCCTCCTGCCTCAGCTTCCTGAGTACCTGGGACTACAGGTATACATACAGGAGTACCTGGCTAATTTAGAAACTTTTTTTTAGAAATGGGGCCTTGCTTTGTTTCCCAGGCTAGTCTTGAACTCCTCGCTTCAAGTATTCTTCCCACCTTGGCCTCCCAAAGTGCAGGGATTATAGGTGTGAGCCACCATACCTGGCTGAATAGCTTTTGATTGTGAGGGAAGAAGGAAAAAATAATTGTGAGATGAAACATCATTGTGCAAATCAGACTGGTTAAAGAAGAGCAAGGCCTGGCACGGTGGCTTACGCCCGTAATGCTACCACTTTGGGAGGCTGAGGCTGGTGGATCACTTGAACCCAGAAGTTCAAGACCAGCCTGGGCAACCTGATGAAACTCCATCTCTACAAAAAAATATAAAAATTAGCTGGATGCAGTGTCATGTGCCTGTAGTCCCAGCTACTCAGGAGGCTGAGGTGGGAGAATTGCTTGAGCTCAGGAAGCGGAGGTTGCAGCGGTGAGCCAAGATCATGCCACTGCACCACAGCCTGGTCAACAGAGTAATAACTTGTCTGAAAAAAAAAAACAAAAACCACGAGCCAAAGTCGGCCACTGGCGGCTCACCCAGCTTTTGGTGGCAGTGGAGATAATAGATGGTGTGGCAGGGAAAGGCACAGAGGTATTCATGCATGGCCTACTCTGAAAGTGTCAAGTTGTTTGGGAAATAAAAGACATCATGAGGGAAACATAAGTTGGAACCTGATGTGGAGAGCCTTAAATACCCCAGTCAGGAATTCTGATATATTTTGACCAGTTGAAGCTGTGATAATTGTATCAGTAGAGGTTTTTGGGTTCAAATGATAAAAACCAGCTGTCAGCATTATAAGCAGATAACATGCTTATTGATGTAGATTAGCTCATGTAATCAAAGAAACAGCTAAAGAACCAGATGTAGAAAGGACAGGACTCAGAAAACCTCTAGGGATTTAGATAAGAAGAAGTATTTGGCAATTTCATCAGCATTCATTCTGCTAAAGCCATTTTTGTTTTTTCTCTGACTCCCAAGGTTTGCAGCCATGGGCAAGAGAAATTTGCCTGGCTTTGACCATGGTTTGCCCTTGGTTTGACGGTCTCACCAGCACTGCACACAACAGCAGAGAAGTAATTCCACAAAGGGAGGAAAGAGAAACAAATGTTGGGAAGTCATCAGACTAGAAAGAAGCAATGTGATCACATCTGGTAGCAGTGGGAGGATGAAATAGTATCTGGGTTGAACATACATGACTGATTTGTGTCAGGTTCTGAAGGAGAACTATGGAATGTGTAAATGATGTCATCATACAGAAGTGCTTAGAGCGCTTCAGTGGAAAGGCTGTCTGTATGTCATTCATTTAGCAAATAATCATCGGTGTCTACCATATGCCAGCAGCTGTGAAGGTAGTAGACAGACAAGGTCTCTACCTTAAGGACCTTAACATTTTGTTGAGGGAGATAGATAGTAAATAAATACGCAGTGTGTTGGACAGTGATGAATGCTTGAAAAATAAAGGAGTAAGGGTGGTATCCACAGTGGAGGAAAGGGTACCGTTTTCTGTGGGGTGGTCCAGGAGACCTCTGCTTAGAGACATTACTGAAAAGAATGGAATTTGTTTTTATATTTTAAAATCTCAAAAAAAAAGTGCATATTCAGGGCAACTTGAATCTATGCTCTTGAGTTACCAAAAAAAAAAAAAAAAAAAAAAACCTCAAAGAAATACAAGCTGTGATTGATAACAACATTAAGAAAAAAATGTTTTTATAGCCTAGGATGTGGCATTGGATATGGTTATTTGCATCGAATACCTACACGCCCATTTGAGGAAGGAAAGAAAATTTCTCTTCCAGGACAAATGGCTGGTACACCTATTACTCCTCTTAAAGATGGGTTTACAGAGGTAAGATAATATTCCTACCTGAGTATATCATGAAGTTTTTACCAAAACAAGTCTGTGGCAGTAACACTATGAGATAGGGTAGATGATGAGTTAAGTATTGATTATTTTAAATTTGAGGTTCACGTAAAATACCTAGATAGAGGTTAGCTGTATGAGTCCGGATTTTGTGAAGAAGGACAGGGCTAGAGAGCAGATTTGGGAATCATCAGCAAAGAGAGGGTAATGTAACCCAATGGCCGTTATGATACCTGTACTGGTAGGGATTGGGTCTGGCTGGGTCAGAGGACTATAGTCAGAATCTTGAAAATCTGAATGGGCAGAGATCTAGCAAAGGAAGCTCAGCAGAAGGCCAGAGGGAAAACAAAGCTTCAGGAAATTGGACACAGCCATGTCAGGTACTGCAGAGGAGTCAGGTGAAAGGAGTGGGAAAAAGAATCATGTCCTGGGTGAGAGCAATTTCAGAGACTTGCCAGTGGGCAAATATTAAATTGCAAGTCAGCAGAGTGAATGGATGGAAAGGTGCTGCTAGCTGTTGCTTACTGTTTCAAGAAACAATGGAGAAAACGAGGAGAGCTGTGTGGGGGGGGGGAGGGGTCATGAGGGGAGTGAGGGGGCTATTACAGGATCAAAGGAAGACTTTTTAAGGAACGAGATATTTGAGCAAGGTTATAGGGTTTTTGAGGTTTCTTAAGACACCTCAGGGCAGTTAACTCTTGTCTGCATAACTAAATAAAAACCAAACATCCAAAAAGAAAATGCTGCTGTTGTAAAGACAGGGCTGTTGCCACTGTGGTTTTGTCTATGCAGTTTGGTCATCCTGAGTTCTAGAGAAAGGAAAGAGGAGCTGCTGAGAAGTTTCATCACTGCCATTGCCTCATGACTAGAGCCAATATAGTTACTTGTTAAGACCCCAACCACCATATCCACTGACCATAATCAGGGCTTTCCCAGATGAACCTCTTTGGGTAGTCTGAGAATATGAAACAGTTACTAGCAGCTAGGGAAAGGGCCGGAATACAGGTCGTCTCAGAATGTACCAAAGGGCACTGGAGTTGCAGAAGGTGGATTATTCAGAAATGAAACCACCCATCTGTAGAGTCCTTCTTTTTCTTCTCCTGAAAGGCCGAGATCTGGCTGCTACATTTATTCACTGATGAGAAAATACTAAATGGACTCATGAGGTTGGAAATCTTGAGAAGTCTATCATGTATTACATTTGATCTTAGCCAAAAGGCCGAGAAGCGATGTTTATCATGTATTAAAGACTTTAGCTGATTTCTTTCCTGAACAAGGAAAGTTAAAATAAATAAATAAATAAACAAACCAGCTGGGAATTCAGAGTGAAGAGGAAAAGAGTGGTGGTTTAAAGGCTGAATAAAATGATTTCCAGGTGGTGAGGAAAGAGGAGAGAGTAGAATCTCTCCTAGTGTGGAAGTATCTAGAACAGTGGGTGCAACTTGGGGTAGAAGCCATGTGTCCCAAGACTAGAAGTGACAGGACAGGGAGATGCTTCCAGTGCATGGTCCATGACACGTGCCAAAATTAGGAGGGAATGTGTGAAGGCAGACTTGCCAAATGAAGCTTTTGACAGCTCGTATATGAACAAAATATGTATCTGGTTCAGATACAAACAGGTCAGGTAAGAGCCAATGTTTATATTTTCTTTTAAATAAACTTAAGTAGTCTTCCTTTTCTCTCTTTTTTTGGAAGGTCCAGCTGTCCTCAGTTAATCCTCCGTCTTTGTCACCACCAGGAACTACAGGAATTGAACAGAGTCTGGCTGGACTTACTATTAGCTCAACTCCACCAGCTGTCAGTAATGTTCTCAGTACAGGTGTGCAGAAAAATATATTCTGTTTTCAGTCTATTTTATTTTGTAATATTATTGCATAGAATTTTAAAAATTGACCAGATACAGTGGCTCATACCTGTAATCCCAGCACTTTGGGAGGCTAAGGCAGGAGGATTGCCTGAGCTCAGGAGTTCGAGACCAGCAATATCGTAGAACCCTGTCTCTACCAAAAAAATAAATAAATATTTAATTACCCAGGTGTGGTGGTATACACCTGTAGTCCCAGCTACTCAAGAAGCTGAGATGGGAGGATTGCTTGAGCCTCAGAGGTTGTGGCTACAGTGAGCCGTGATTGTGCCACTGCATTCCAGCCTGGGCAACAAGAGCTAGACTCTGTCTCAAAAAAAAGAATTCTTTTTTTTTTTTTTTGAGACGGAGTTTTGCTCTTGTTACCCAGGCTGGAGTGCAATGGCGCAATCTCAGCTCACCGCAACCTCCGTCTCCTGGGTTCAGGCAATTCTCCTGCCTCAGCCTCCCAAGTAGCTGGGATTACAGGCGCGCACCACAATGCCCAGCTAATTTTTTGTATTTTTAGTAGAGACGGGGTTTCACCATGTTGACCAGGATGGTCTCGATCTCTTGATGTCGTGATCCACCCGCCTCGGCCTCCCAATTTTCTGGGATTACAGGCTTGAGCCACCGCGCCCGGCCAAAAATAATTCTAATAATTAATGCCAGTGTACCTTGAAAACTGCATATGTACTCTGTGTTGACAGGTCCTGTCTGTGAAAGCTTTTTCTAAATCACCATGTGGATACATACGGAGCTTAAATCTCTTTCCTGAATATTTTAGACCCTGAGCTTTCCTTAGGTTCTACAACTTGTAAAGTCAGAATTCTAACTTTAAATTCTGTTAAACTGCTCTGGTTACTCAACAAAATGTTTGCGTGTTTCTGAAGTAGTAGGCGCTGGAGATGCAAAAGTGAGTACGAACTCCTTTCTAAGGAGCTCAGTCTCGCTTAGGAGACATGTGCCTGTCTCCTTCCTTTTCTTTTTTCTTTTTTTTTTTTTTGAGACAAAGTTTCTCTCTTGTTGCCCAGGCTGGAATGCAGTAGTACGATCTTGGCTTACTGCAACCTCCGCCTCCACGATTCAAGTGATTCTCATGCCTCAACCTCCCAAGTAGCTGGGATTACAGGTGCGTGCCACCACACCCAGCTAATTTTTGTATTTTTAGGAGACACAGGGTTTCACCATGTTGGCCAGGATGGTCTTGAACTCCTAAACTCACATGATCAGCCCTCCTCGGCATCCCAAAGTGCTGGGATTACAGGTTTGAGCAATTGCACCTGGCCTTCTTCCTTTTCTTCATTCCTTGTTCTACCTAAGGTAGTCCTTTTTGTTTTGGGTTTTTTTTTTATTTTTTTATTGCTTTCTTAAGATAAAATGCATATTACTGCATATTACCATACAATTCACCTGCTTAAAGTATACAATCCAGTGTTTTTTAGTGTATTTGTAGAGTTGTGCAACCAATAACTTCAGTCAATTTCAGAATGTTTCATCACACCAAAAGAAACCCTGTACCCATTATCACACTCTTGTCACCTAAGCTGGAGTGCAGTGGCGTGACCTGAGCTTACTGCAGCCTCCACCTCCTGGGTTCAAGTGCTTCTCTGCCTCAGCCTCCCAAGTAGCTGGGACTACAGGTGCATGGCATCACACCCAGCTAATTTTTGTATTTTTAGGAGACACGGGGTTTCGCCGTGTTGGCCAGGCTGGTCTTGAACTCCTGAACTCACGTGATCAGCCCTCCTCAGCCTCCCAAAATGCTGGGGTTACAGGCATGAGCCACCTCACTCGGCCCCAGGTGCTCTTCTGATTTTAGGAGATAGTTGACATGTCTCTTCAAGCCCCAGTTTCTCTTCGACATTTTAAATCTTTCCTCATTACATTGTAGTTAAAATGCACAGAGATCCCTGGTTTATGGCACTGCAGAGAAATGGCTTCTGCTAAAGACAAATGTAAATAAAGCAGTAATTGCTCAAGAGACTGAAAAAAATTGACATCATCACTTTTGAGTAAATAAATTTGAAAAGACTAAAATGTTCTAGCATAATAACAAATGAGAAACAACTTTTTGATGGGCATTTAGTTTTCTGTCTTCACTTTTCATTATATTGCTTGCAAAGTAGCCCATACAATGTGACATAGTGTAATATAATAGCCTATGCTATGTAACTGTAGAGGTATAAAAGTATATATATTTTTAAACTTTTTTGTGGATGTGAAGATTTTTGGATTATAAAATTTTTAGAAAATGACTACCATTTTGAAGTGGCATTCATCATTGTGACCTTTTCAGTGCACCCCTCACATTTTCTGTTCTCCTTCCCTGCTTGATTTTTCTGCAGTGTATCACCTTTTTTTTTTTTTTTTTTTTTGAGATGGAGTCTTGCATTGTCGCCCAGGCTAGAGTGGAGTGGTGTGATCTTGGCATACTGCAACCTCTGCCTCCCAAGTTCAAGTGATTCTCTTGCCTCAGCCTCCCAGGTAGCTGGGATTATAGCGCTCACCACCATACCAACTTAATTTTTGTATTTTTAGTAGAGACAGGGATTCACCATGTTGCCCAGGCTTGTCTTGAACCCCTGACCTCAGGTGATCCACTCGCCTCAGCCTCCCAAAGTGCTGGGATTACAGGCATGAGCCTCCACACCTGGCCCGAGTGTATCATCATTTTACATGCTATGTATTTTACTTACTTGATTTTTCTCCTTTCCTTTTCCTCTCCTCATTAGAACATAAATTTCCTGAAGGTTGTGATTTCTGTTTTCTTTAAGTTGTAAAGTGCCTCGGTGCCTAGAACAATGTGTAACATATAGTAGGTGCCCCAAAAAACTTGAATGAATGACCACACTCAAGTATTCATTCAACTCCTTTGAGAATCTGATGAAAGCAAAGAACCTGCCTTCCAAAAATTATTGTATACGATTTTAGGAGCTTCACAGACCCCCTGAAGCCCGTTTGTGGGCCCTAGATTTAGAATTCCTGGCTTAGATTTAGTAAGTTATTTTTGAGACTTGTGAAGATATCCTTTAAGAATGAAAAGAAACTTATGTTAAAGACTTTATTGGGAAATAGAAGAAATTTGCTTAACCAAATCCAAGCTGCTTTTATTTTTTTAAAACCAAGATTTCAAAACAAATATAAAAAAATTATAGCATTACTATTGTGTGTGACCACTTAACAAAGCACACAGTCACTAACATTTTGGTACAGAGTAGAAAACAGCTTCTTATATTTGAGTGAAATTATGCAGTCTGGGATCCAGTAGAGCATTTGCCAGTGCTTCTGTTAGACTGTTTTCTTATTTTTTGCTTGCCTCTGAATTCTGCAGAAAAGTAGACAAATGAATAAATAATAGACTGTCTGCATGGTTGATTCATAGTTTTAGGCACAATTTATTCCCACTACCATATTTATGTAGATCTGTAAGACAAAATCTGGAATCAGTGTGCAAGATAAATGAAAATGAATGCTTAATTAGTGAAAGATGTGCTTTCATTTATTGTTTCAACATCAGCAAAACCTCCCACTGCGGTAAGTGGTAAACATGACTAGGTGGTATCCTAAGGCTTACTTGTACATGAAAACCATAACCTCCTCAAGCTAACCTTAGTACAATGGAAATGTGTTAGACTTCAAAGGACTATCACAGAACCTAAGGTCAAAAGGAAATGGACATTTAGGAAGCCAGGTCATTGTCTCCATCCTAGAGTTTCATATGCTGTTTTGTCTCTTTCAGGCTACCTATGACATTCTCTGCTTTCACAAACCAGCATTCTCTGTTTCACAGGACACATAGTCCCCCTGAAACCCCAGGCTTACATGGCATCTTAATTTAGGAGCCCAGTAAAGATTGACTAGAATCCTTGTGTCCCATTTACAAATATCTAAGATAGTTTTCTATTCCCACCCTGCTTAAGTCAAGCGTAAACATCTCATCCAGTGAGCTGGGCTGGGAGTGGGATTGCACGGCCTCCTGCCCTCTTGGCCCAGGCTCTGGTAACAGCCTTGATTAAGAGAAGAGCCGTGGGCAGCGTTAGTGGAACTGCCATAAAGGGTGACATAATCAGTTGCAGCTGGAAATTGGGACCAAATGAAAACCTGACAATGGTGCAGGGAGGGGACTGAAGATTGTACTAACGTGTTCTGTTCATTTTTTGTCCACTAAATTTGTTAGAAATGAAAAGACTGTGCTTTCATTTTAGGTGTACCAACAGTACCGTTATTGCCACCACAAGTAAACCAGTCCCTCACTTCTGTGCCACCAATGAACCCAGCTACTACATTACCAGGTAACCACCAGGGGACTAGAGATGTGGCTAATGATAATAGCATTACTAATATTTGCATCTTAAAAACAATGAAAAATATTATACCTATGTGGTAACTTTTTATGTCTTTTAATCTCAATTTATCTTGGCAGTAAGTTTGTGATAAATGAGAGCTAGGGCAGCTCTTCTTAGTAGCCAAGGAACCAGAGATGTCAGTTATCAGCTAGTTAGCTGCAGAGCCTAGCACTCCTTATCCCCAGCCAGTGGCCACGTGCCACCCCTGCAACTCCACAGTGCAGCAGCAGCCAGGAATCAGGAATCTGCAGAAGTCCATTCTCCAGTGTCTCCTTAGTTACAGATGAATAGTCGTTCGTGTGAGCAGACACTGTCCTGGAAGAGAAGGCTCCTTATTTGGGTTAGCAGCTCTAACATTAAATTAAATGTTTGTGGTTTTCTCTTTTTATTCCTAGTGAAGACCAAGTCCCTTTAGCCAGCCTTTAATAATCAAATATTATTTCAGTGATGAAATATACTTTCATTGTTAGGGCTTTTAATGTATAGCTAAATATGTCATTATCCAAGCATATTAAGCCATGAACCAAATATGTGCACACACAGAATGATAAAGCAAGCATGCTGACACGTGGACATGTGGGAAGTTGGGTGAAAGGTATATGTGGGGATTCTTTGTACTACTTTTGCAACTGTAAGTCTGCATTTATTTTTCAGAATAAGAAATTTAGAATGCCATAGCGACTGTAAACCTCAACCATCAAAGAAAAATTCAGTTTCATTTTCTGCCATATTTACTGAAACAAATCAGCCTTTTCTCCAAGGCACTCGGGCCATAATCATTCTTATTCCAGAGTGTTAGGAGTATTATTTATTTTCATCTTTACCCATTTAGCCACCTAATCCATCTAATCACTTGGGTATAGAAATACATTTCAGTTAAGTGAAATTTTGTGGTTATTAATGCGATTATGATATGAACTGCCACACATTAGGTGGACTTCTGGTACTGTCACTTGGAAGTGGCTAGGATTGTTTTTAATACACATGGATTTATTTCTTCCCCAGGTCAAGTGACTTCCCTTTTGTTCTTTTCTGCCTTCTGTTCAGGTCTGATGCCTTTACCAGCAGGACTGCCCAACCTCCCCAACCTCAGCCTCAACCTCCCAGCACCACACATCATACCAGGGGTTGGCTTACCAGAACTTGTGAACCCAGGTACGTTGCAGACCTCACCCTCCTAGGATTCTCTCTAATAAAAAGTTTCATTCAGGAATGCCCATCCTCTTCAGTTTTTTTCTGGAAAGAGTAATCAGTTCAACAAATTTCAGCTACTTCAAATAACTATTCATCTTTTTTGTTTAAAAAGCTTAAGAGCACACCTATTATCCCAGCACTTTGGAAGGCCAAGGTGGTGGGTGGATCACCTGAGGTCAGGAGTTCAAGACCAGCCTGGCCAACATGGTGAAACCCTGTCTCTACTAAAAATACAAAAATTAGCTGGACGTGGTAACACCTGCCTGTAATCCCAGCTACTTGGGAGGCTGAGGTAGGAGAATCACTTGAACCCAGGAGGCAGAGGTTGTAGTGAGCTGAGATTGCGCCACTGTACTCCAGCCTGGGTGACAGAACGAAACTCCATCTCAAAACAAAAATAAAACTGAAGTACTATTAGTAAAGTCAAAGAACCATTTACTGTCTCTGCACTCACCCTGCCTTTCCTTTTGTGCACTGTATTCTTGGCTCCTCCTCTGCCCTTTCCCCAAATTTGACAGGCTCTCAGCAGTGAGGGTTTCACCAACCAGGGGTTGCCCTTTGAACCTGTGCTTTACACCCTGCTTTTCCTTTGTTTCTTGAAGTAATTACCCTTTCCTTCATTCTGCATTTTAAAATCTTTTTTTTTTTTGAGACAGAGTCTCCCCCTGTTGCCCAGGCTGGAGTGCAGTGGTATAATCTCATCTCATGGCAGCCTCCACCTCCTGGATTCAAGCAATCCTCCCACCTCAGTGGCATTGTAGTCCCTAGTAGCTGGGACTACAGGTGTGTGCCACCATGCTAATTTTTATTTTTATTTTTTTTAAAATAGAGACAAGATTTTGTCATGTTACCCAAGCTGGCCTCTAGCTCCTGGGCTCGAACAGTCCTCCCACCTCAGCCTTCCAAAGTGGTGGGATTACAGGCGTGAGCCACCTCACCTGGCCTTGCATTTTAAGATCATCATAATGAGCCCACCAAGTATAATATAAATGGTTGTCAATCACAGATTTTAAGCAGAGGCAGGGTACCCCTGTTGAGGACAGTGGAGGGGGCGATAATCCAGCCCCCTCCTTTCTGCTGCCTTCGCAGGATGCCTGTTGCCTACCTCTTCCTGTTGTCTGTCAAAAGTGGAGCTGTAACTCAGCTTGCAGCTGGCCTGAGTGAGCATGAGACCCCCTGTCTGACATCCAGTGTAGCTGTCACCTGCTGGGTGGGCTGCTATCTGTCGTGACTGGATCATTTCTTCCCTGAGTCAGTTTCCCCCAGTGCTGGGCCAGGTCACATAGAGCCTAGAAGCTGAGAACCTATTCCTCTAGGCAGCCTTGATAGGGAACAGTTAGCCCTGCCAGGGCCTCCATCTGGAAAGGTTGTGATTTGTGTTACCTCCTCAGCTTCAGTTTCCTTAATGAAATGTAAATAAAAATAGCCCTTTGGTGATACCTGCTCTCCTTTCAGTGCCGGGAGGATGTATGACCTGTGCTGTTTCTGTCCTAGGTCTGCCACCTCTTTCTTCCTTGCCCCCCCGAAACTTACCCGGTATTGCACCTCTCCCCCTGCCATCCGAGTTCCTCCCATCATTCCCCTTGGTTCCAGAGAGCTCTTCTGCAACAAGCTCAGGGGAGCTGCTATCTTCCTTCCCAGCCACCGGCAACCCACCCTCCGACCCTGTCACAACTACTGCAAAGGCAGACCCTGCCTCCTCACTCACTATGGATGTGACACCCCCCACTGCCCAGGCCTCTGCCACTGTTGAGGACAGAGTCGGCGACTCCACTCCAGTCAGCGAGAAGCCTGTTTCTGCGGCTGTGGATGCCAATGCTTCTGAATCACCTTAACTTTGAACCGTTCTTCAGAATCGGCGTGGTGTATTTATTTAAACCACGGGAGCGTGTCTGGAAATGCAAACTATCATTAATTTCATACTAGTTTGTACCATATCTGTAGGCATCCTGTAAATAATTGCAAGGGGAAAACTAAACAAGAGGACATGGGTTGTATCCTGCCAGGTTGAGTGGGGCTCATGTGCTAGGGAGAGAGATGTCAGAAAGTGCTTGTATTTTAAACAACCAAAAAGAATGAAGGGTGGCTTGCTGCCAGGCTTCCACCGCCATTCCTAGGGGTGTGTCTTCAGGAAAGGTGGTGGCAGGGCGTCCACGAGGTTCCTTGTCCCTTGCTGCTCCTTCCGTACGAAAATGAAATATTCTATGCCTAGTACTCACATGCAACATTTCTTGTACTTTGTAAGTTGTTTGCGAGAATGCAGACCACCTCACTAAACTAAATGGTAAAGAGATTTTACTTTTGGTCTCCGTGAGTCGCATCTCTATTAAGGTTTACACAGAAATTCCACCTGAAGACTTGTGTTAAAGTTCCACAGCGTGCACTGTTATTTGAACATCTTTTTATTCAGCCTATACACAGATCCTTGTTTTAAGCTCTCAGAATCACTCAGACAACATTTTGTAACTGCTGCTGTTGCTTTCTACAACCACCTTCTAAAGTGGCATTTCAAAAGAAATAAAGAAGGTGTCGCAGTTTTAAACCAGAAGGTGGCACTCTGTGGCTCCCTGTAGTAGTATAGCTATACTGGGAAAGCATAGATACAGCAATAAAGTACAATAATTTTACTTTTTTTCTTGTGTTACATCTAAATTACAATCCTTAATTGCCACATGTGCACTTATTACTCTCCAGTATGTCACGCGTCTTTAACTTTTCACGTCCTATGTTTGCTTTCTCCCATTTTCTAAGAGATGGTAAGTTAACAGGAATTGATTTACTGATTGAAATTAAATGCAGCTATTCCTGTTTTTGAAATAAGACCAAAGTGATTCCTCAGTTATTGCCCTGGTATGAGTCTGAAGGTGCTCATCCCCTGCAGAGAGGATGTGGCTGAGGTGGCAGCACCCTCACATCACCCTCATGTCACTCGCCTCTGGCTGCCCTGCTAGACACTCGAGGTCAATGCCAGCCTAGCACTCTCCCAGGGGCCCAGTGCCAGTTATGGAGGGTAGATTGGTTTCTGGGGCCAGGTTTGTACTTAAAACTGAATTATGAAAGAAGGCTCCAGCCCTAATCATAGCTTCTTCTGTTTACACTGTGGAAATGTTTCTAGAATATTTCAGTTAGCAATCCTATTTTTTTAAAAAGAGATTGTAACACGTGAGGAAAGTATTCACAAGCACATTTAAATGTTACAATTTTTGACTTTCCAGGACAGGAAAAGTTGAAGTTATTACTTTCTAAAAGATTTCTTAAAACAAATATTAAGATCCTGTTAATATTTGTTGCTTTGCATTAAAAAACAACAGATATTAAGGAGATCCCTTAGTGAAAAGCAAGTGAGTAATTTTTAAGTTATTCAAGATGATTTTTTAAAAACAGGTCTTCCGAGGCAGTGGTTGTGAACTCTGGTTCAGTCACAGCTCTCATTTGGGAGCAATAACAGCCTGGGCTCTTCCTGGGCAGATGTCCATAGCGTAAATGAGACACTAATCTCTAGTGAGGTTGAGGGACCTTTTTTTTTTTTTAAAACAGTCTTGCTCTGTCACCCAGGCTAGAGTGCAGTGGCTTCATCTTGGCTCACTGCAGCCTTGACCTGCTGAGCTCAAGCCATCCTCCCACCTCAGCCTTCCAAGTAGCTGGGACCACAGGTGTGTGCCACCATGATGGTGAGGGAATCTTTAACACTCACTTGGCAAGTGGACACAGACCTGGCCTAGATTGGCTCATTGGATCTTCCCTGAGGTGGAAGGTACTTCATTATTCTCTGCTGTCTTGGGAAATACCATTTTGAGTCTTTAACAATGGTAGATCTGGTACCGGGTTCCAGAAACACAGATGTAAGAGAGAACTTTCCTGACAGTGGGCCACTCTGTGGCCTTGTAGGGAGACAGACCAGGGAATCGGTCCTTAGGCCAAGACAGAAGGATTGCTTGCGCCCAGAAGTTCACTGCAGCCTGGGCAACAGAGAGACCCTGTCTCCAAAAAATTAAAAATTAGCTGGGCATGGTGACACATGCCCAGAGTTCCAGCTACTCAGGAGGCTAAGGTGGGAGGATCGCTTGAGCACAGGAAGTCAAGACTGCAGTGAACTGTGAGGAAGCCATGCAAGGTTAGGAAAAGTCTTGAATATTTGTGTGCATGAGACTCAGTCCTATGTGCTGGGCTAGGGAGTTTGAACTTTGGCTTAAATACGGCAGTCACGAAGGCTGGAGGGCAGCGGCAGTTGGGAACCAATTTCAGGAGGGACGCTGACCTGAACCGCCTTTGCTAGCTAAGACTGCTTTGAGTCTTGGATAATGACTCTATTTGTCTGTACTCATACTGCTATAAAGAAATACCCATGACTGGGTAATTTACAAAGGAAAGAGGTTTAATTAACTTAGTTCCACGTGGCTGGGGAGGCCTCAGGAAACTTAGAATCATGGCAAAAGGTAAAGGGGAAGCAAGAACCTTCTTCACATGGCAGCAGGAGAGAGAAGCCCAAGCAGGGGAAATGCCAGAGGCTTATAAAACCATCATATCTCAAGAGAACTCACTCTCACTGAGAACAGCATGGGGGAAACCACCCCCATAGTCAATCACTTCCCACCGGATCCCTCCCTCAACACGTAGGACTTATGAGAACTATAATTCAAGAAGAGATTTGGGTGGGACAGAGCCAAACCGTGTCAGTGACTACCTTTTCCCCTCTGATTTTTGTCCATGTTTTATCTTTAGCCCATTACTAATTGTGCTTACTTGGGAGCAGCTTAACTTAGCTCATTTCCTGAAAATTCTGAAGACCTCTTCCTCACCTGAGAGGCACCTACCTACTGAAGCTCAAAGATGGCTCTGCCTTGGATGTCCAAACATTTCTGCCCTTGACTACAGTGAAGATGTGAGACCAGCAGGTTGCTGGAGCTGTGGGAGTGACATGGAAGCCCCGGTCCCACCTTTAAGGAACCTATGGTTTAGGTGGGAACATGAGGCAACTTCATGCAACCCTCAGCAAGAGAAAAGAGTCTCAGCTGAGCAGAGACCCGGAATGTCGAATCTGGGTGAAGGGAACATTCTCTGGCAGCTGAAGAAGACTTACCCAGACCTACATTTTATCAGGGGGAGAAGGGGTTTCCAGCAGCAGTTGGCTACAGGTGCATTTTATTAGAAAAGTACATCTTATTTCAAGGATTTATTTGTGGAAAGTTTTTTCTTACAGAGAATGGCCCTATTTTTTTAAGTTAACTTTTGAAGGAAGGTTGGGTCTTCCCCCTGTGACCCTGAAGATGAAGTCCTTCTTTAATTATCTGACTTTCCAGCAAGTTTTCAACCCTGTCTTCAGATTAGAATCGCCTCAAGTAGAATATTGATTCCTGGGATCCTGAAGTTTTTAAACACTTCTCCAGGGAAGTGGGTGAGCGCCACCATACTAAACACATTTTTTTCCTCCTGGGTGGGCCTGTTTAACTTCGGGAGGTAATAGGAGCTTAGGAAGGTCATTGTTCTTGCTGGGTGTTTACTTTTACCACTAAGCAGCAAAGTGCCTAGGTTAGCAGAAGTATCCTTTTACTGCCCTTTTTTTTTTTGCATTAGATCTAGGAAGAACAGTTTCTGGTTTGGCCAACCAAAGTGTTCCTTTATAAGCTTTTGCATATCGAGCCAATTGATAAAATGGGGAATTAATGCCACAGCTAATTATTCAAGCACTAGGACTGCTCGGAAGGGCAAGTGGGACCCACTCCCAGCTGGGGGCTACAGGTGAGGCAGATGGGGAGGGGTGAGGAGTGTGCACAGGTGCAGATGACACCCCACTGCCTCTCCAGGAAGTTACACAAACATGGGTACTCTCGTCACTGACAGTTTAAAGAAAACACACTGGAGTCATTAATGGAGGTGGGCCCTGGACTTTCAGTGTGATCAGAGTTGAGGTTACACCGTATTTCCTGGCAAGAAATAGATCCAAGCCCATGCTCCATGAAGGCCACTGGGGCTTGGGATAGTAACAGTAGCCAGCGTTTATTAAGTGTTCCCTGTTGTACATGGGGTGAAGAAAGATAAGAGCGCTCTGCCCAGCAAACAACAGGAAGCACACGGGTTTCCCCCAGGCATGTTCCCTTTCAACTATATATCAAAATGTGAATTAATTCCCAACATTCAAAAACCAGAATGTTTCACGTAAATCCAGATTACTGGTTTCACTTGTCACAAGATCTGGTAACGGATCAGCCCTACAGACAAGTGAACAACCCCTGGAGTCTGCCCTCTGGTCTCCAATTCTCACAGCCCCACCTGTGAGTGCCAACCCGCCTCCCACCACCCACAGGTGCCTCAGTTTGCAGAGCCCTGTGTTATCCTGGTAGTAACATGGCTGAGGCTGGGGAGAGGGGAGAAAACAAGGCTTCCTTATAGTCAGTGGGGCCAGAACCCATGGGGACCCGGGATCAGAAAACAACATCCTTCACGAATTTCATTATTTGGGATCCAATGAATTGGGTGGAATAGGCACTAAGGTTAACAAAAATTGAAGTAGTCACTTAGTAAAGCTGAGGCAGAAAATGTCCCTGCACAATGACTGGGACAGTAACAGCAATTTGGATTTCACCAGCCTCTTTTCCTAAAGCCATATTCTGGGTCCCTAAACCCACTGATTATTTACCTTAACAACCAACTCCATTGGAATTGATCAATTCTCTTTTCCAGGGACCAAGGGTTGTGAAGAAGAGATGAATCCCTGACTGGCTTTCTTGCCCTCCACTCTCCATGCCTCACTTCCTGGACAGGGGCCTGTTTGCCCAGCTCTGCCCAGGCTGGCCTGGTTTGAGACTCACACTAGTCTTAGTGAGGCTCAGGACAGCCCTCTTCCAGAAGCACTTGAATTATGGTGACTGGGGTTGGGGTTATAGAAACTTCTCATTTCTTCTCATAAACTTGCCTATTGCCAGAATTTTTAAAAACATCTGAAGTACATTTTATTATTTTATTTTTATTTTTGAGATGGAGTCTCTGTCGCCCAGGTTGGAGTACAGTGGTGCAATCTCAGCTCACTGAAACCTCCACCTCCCAGGTTCAAGCAATTCTCCTGTCTCAGCCTCCCGAGTAGTGGGAATTACAGGCATGCGCCACCATTTGTACTTTTAGTAGAGACGGAGTTTTGCCATGTTGGTCAGGCTGATCTCAAACCCCCGACCTCAGGTGAGCCACCCGCCTCGGCCTCCCAAAGTGCTGGTATTACAGGTCTGAGCCACCGCACCCAGCTTTGAATTACTTTTTAATCACTAAAAACAATAGTGTTATTTTGATCTAGGGGGTGAATGGGAGACTTACACAGCCAAAGAAAGCCATTCATTTCCGTCTGTCCAGGACGACCCCTGCTGCAGGGGCTGGCAGCGTTTTCCCCCAGCAGCGTCATGACAGTGTCAGAGGGAGCTAAAAAAACCCAACACTGTCCCTAGATTAGAATTATCTATGAAATTTCCCTTAATACACTGGCCCTGTGACTGATTTGCAATGCTGTGTTGTGTTTGTAAATCAGTTTGGCCAGAACGAACTGTCTCTGTGTAGCTCAGACAGCTATGCTGAAAGGAGAGCCCAGAAACACAATGGCAGGAATCCACGTTGTGCCCAGGCGCTGTTTGGGGCTCTAGTG